CAGCAGGAAGTCGGGGCAAGCTGCTCTCCCCGAGCCCGGGGAGGGGGGATGCCAGGTTGAACAAGCAGGGGGGATTTTTGGGGTGCTGAGCCCCTGTCTGCCCTCCCTCTGGTGACTAACCCCATCACGGGCTGGGGTGAAGCAGGCAGGGTTTGCCCGTGACTAATTGAGTGCCGTGATGAAACGTTACCCGGCCGGCCGGGGTGGTGGGTGTGGGCGGGAGCCGAAAGAAATGGCCGAGGGATGAAACGGGAGTGGGGAGAGCTGCAGGCACCCTGGGGATGCAGGGGTTATTCCCCTGGCCCGTGCTCCCGGGATGGCATTCCCAGTCCCCCCAGGGAGACAGCGCCTGGCACTGTCCCCCAACACCGGCAGCGCAGCCCCCTGAGAGGGACAGCAAAGAGAGGGGAAACTGAGGCACGAAAGCGGGGAGATGATTCACCAGCGCCCGGAGCGGGAGCTTTGCCTTCCCGCATATGGAGCCATCCTCTTCCTCCTCCCGGAGCATCTCCTGCTCCCAGGAGGGGAGGTGGAGGACTCCGTGCTTCCAGGCTGGATCCGGCCGTGCGCACGCTTTGCTGCTGTTTGGAGAAGAAACAGGGGGGTTTGCTGCCAGGGGTGGGGGGCCAGGGCTGCCCAGTGCCAGGAGAAGCTCACCGCCACGGGGCTCTGCCCTAGCGTCGTGCCACCAAGGCCAGGAGAGCTCGGTGCCGGGCCCGGGCGCCAGGATGGGGCCGCAGCCATGTCCCCTGGGCTGGGGACAGCTCCAGGTACGCCCATGGGGCTCGGGGATGCCCCAAGCCCCGTCCCGGCTTTTTCAACCGTGTGTGACCCATGTGAATTAATTCCATTAATTCCCCTCTTCCTGACAGCTGATTCCTGATTGCCAGCCTTCGTCCAGCAGCGGGGAAACTGAGGCAGGGGGTGGCTTGCTCCCAGCCATGCTCCGTGGCCCGGTTGCAAAGGCCAAGTGCAGAGGTTGGGGGCAGAGTCCACAGCGGGGTACGTGCCCCGTCCCTCCCCTGCCACGCTCCGGAGCTTTCCCTCCCAGGGGGGCCCATCCCAGCCTCTTGTTTTCAGACCCCCCCCTCAGCCCTGTGGTCCGCAGGTCCCCAGGCAAGGACGGGCTGGTGACACCGGTGCCATTTGCAGGAGCTGGTGGGGGGAACGGCAACGGGCACGCGTGTACTTTAACCCGGCACCGCAGCCCTTTAACCCCCCACCCCCCCCACCTCTTGCCACCTTTCCTGTGAGCAGCAGGGATGGACAAACAGAGGGCGGACAAACAGACGGCGGCGCCCCGAGCC